GAAGTTCCTGCCCCACATGTGCTGTGGGGGGGTGTGGAGTCAGAGCAGCACTGTCACTGTGACAGTTCTGCAGGGAAACCTCCCTGGCTCCTGGGGCAAATACCTGGTGAAAGTGTCTGGTCTTGTCCCATGTCTCTGGAAGACATCAGACTTGGAGCTCAGGGGTTTTGAGGTCAGCTCTTGTGTGCTGAGGTGTAGCCAAGAGCTGGTAAAAGACCCGGAGCTTGTCTTTGGAAGCAGGGGCAGAGCATCAGTGGTTGGGAGCTCTCCTGGTGTGTGGTGTTTTGTTGGGAGCACTGTGCTGCTGGCAGAGAACAGCCTCAGCCACGTGCTGCTCTGCTGAGGGACAGCCCTGTCCTGCAGGGGGAAGGGCCTTGAGCCACCTGGGTCTTGGAAAACTGGGGCTGAGTTTCTTCAAGAGGAGGCTTTGATGAGGAGCCTGGGCTGCCTCATTCTGGGAAGGGGGGAGGGTCTGTGGATGGCACTGGGGTCTCCTAGGATTTGTGTGCTTCTGACCTTACCCGTGTTGCTGCAGCAAATCCTGTCGGCGCGTGATCTCTGCTCCCTGAGCTTGGCAGTTGTGCTTTTCTGCCTCTCCTTTGTGCACAGCTCACACAGGTCCCTGCTTTCCCTCCTCCTTCCCTAGATCTTTGAACGAATCCTGTTTATCTGGGCCATCCGACACCCAGCCAGTGGCTACGTGCAGGGAATCAATGACCTGGTCACTCCGTTCTTCGTTGTTTTCCTCTCCGAGTATGTTGGTAAGTGACATCTGCTCTTTGAATGACAGTGCTGCCTCTCGAGCACGGTGTTTGCAGTGCTGAGAAGTGCTGGCATCAGACAAAAACATGCCCTGCTGGAGGGGGTGACGTGTCCTGTGCCAGGCTGGAGAGGCAGCTTGACCTCTCGCTGCACCTTTGCTGCCCGGTTGAGTTGAATTCAGTTTTGTAACCTTGCTGAGCTCCACAGAAGCTGCAGTGCTAAGGGTGGCTTTGTGTTTGAACGTGCTTCACCTCTTAGAGCTTGGAGGAGAACGGAGTTGTGGAGGCACTGGGGGAGTTTAGGCAAAGCCCTGATACACAGAGTTGGAGGTGGGGAGGGTCTTGCTCTCAAAGCTTGGGCTCAGAGCTGGTTCTTGCTCTAGGAGGAATGAGGGAAGTATAAAGACACCCTGCTGAGAATGTAAAGTAGCTACTGAAATAAAGATTCCTGTCCAGTGCTGCTCATACAGGTGTGTTTCTCAGGCTGGGAGTCTCAGTGCAAATTAACTTCTCCCTGCTGCTTTTGGCTTTCTTGTCAGCCACTTGCTTTTAGCCAGAGATCAAGTCATTTCTCCCCATAGCATTTTTATTCCTTCTCCAGCTCTAGCTGTGTTTTGGGGCTGACATTAATGCTGGGATGCTGTAATCCCTGTGCCTAAAGGCTCCTCACTTTCACTGTCAGAAGTGAAAAGGACTTTATAAGTCTGTATTAGTGACAGAGGAATCCTGCAGAAGAAATATTTTGAAGGTCTGATGCAAAGCTTGTTGAAGTCAGTGGAAGAAGCATTCCACTCTCTAGGTAGGGCTTTGGCAGCTAGTCCAGAGCTGCCTCTTTGGAGACGTTGCCAAACCTCAGTTTCCACTCGGTGTGGTCAGGATTGATCCCTAGGAAGTGCTGTTGCTCCTCACAGCCCAGAGGAGAAGGCACAAAAGGTGGCTCTGCTGCCAGCTGCAGTGAATTCCCTTTCCTGGAGGTCATGGTCCTGTCTGGTCGGGTCTGAGCAGGTTCCCTCCGAGTGGCTTCTCCTGTGCCTTATTGCTTGAGTGGCACTGATGGCACCTAGACTTGGTGGAGAGTGGTTGCTGAGGACTGATTTGTTGGGTTAGAAGTGGAGCTCTGAGTCAGCTGTGCAAGAAGGGAGCTGGTGGGAAGCATCAGAGCTGCCTGCAGGTACCTGTACCATGCTGGGTGTTGGGGCTCAACTCTGCCTGTGGCAGCAGAGTTCATGCTGCATCAGACCTGTCCATCTCCTGCTGGGTTCATGCTTCTCACCATCTTCCAGGGCTGTTTCCATCCCTGACTGAAGCTTCCTCTCTGAATGTGGCCTTCCTGTTTCCAGCTGTCTCTGAAACTTGTGTTGGAGGGGCAGAAAAAAACCCTCTCTGCGAGAGACCTGCTGAGTTGAATTTGGCCGAGCAGCATCACACATCCCCTTCTACCCCCAGAGCCTGGGATTCCAAGCCTCATTTAGGTCACAGAGCTGCCTCGGTGGTCCCTGTGCCCAGGGCTGGCTGTGCAGCAGTCAGAGTTTAAGCCCAAGGCCAGTAGTTGCCTTGGACATGTGGGGAGAGAAGTGGCAGGGCCCGTGTCACGTAGCCCCTCGTGGAACGGGAGTCGAGTCGCCGGTTTGGAGCGTTGGCTCTTCTCTGCAGAGCTGGTGCTGGGCAGGGCAGGTCTGGAGCCTCTCTGTGCTGGATCAGGAATTCTCAGCACCCCTGGATCTGTGCTGCCCCCGAGGCCTTGCAGCAGTGGAGCCAGGAGGGGCATTGCCATGTGGTGATCCTCACACCAAGGGACAGCTCACCATTCCACAGGGAATCTCTTGTCCCAGGGGGATTCTGCTTTTCTTCTTCAAGCTGCCTCCCCCTGGGGAAAGGGGACAATCTGTGTGGCTGAGGCAGCCCCTGAGGGCTCACACTGCTCTGTGCCATCTGAGGGGACTTCCACGTTCAAAGGTGTGTGTGCAGCCAGCCTGGAAAACATCCCCTCACCTTCCCTTGGAAGCTGGCTCTGGGAAGCTGGCACCAGCCCTGGCTCCATCCTCGAAGCCCTTGGGCTTCCTGCCCCTCCTCCCCATGCTGAGCAGGGGTTTGGTCGCTCCCCAAACGTGAGGTGCTGGAGGGAGAAGCTGCTGTGGTGCCAGCTGGCTCCTGTGCCAGGCTGCCCCCGCTGGGACTGGGCTGCACCCTGGCAGCTCGCTGGGCTCCCTGGGGTGATGTGGTTCAGAGCTGACAGGCAGAGGTGGCCGTTCCCAAGCCAGTCTCTCTGGTTAGCTGTTCAGCACGAGGCCAGGCTGGCACCCTGGTTTCTGCTCTTCAGTCTGGTGGCTTCTCAGAAAGCAGCCTCGCCTCTGAGAAGTGGCTGGTTCCTCTCTCCCAGTTCACTGTAGGCTTCCAACCTCTCAGCCCATGCTTTGGGCAGGCATTGCATTTGCAGGCAGCAAATGAGCTTTTCTACAGATAATTAAAATCTCTTGGTGCTGCTCCCCAGCTGATTAATGTGTCTGGTTGACAGTGTCTCCATTATAGATCAGCTACTAGACCGAGGCCTAAAACATCCCTCAGAGAGCTTGTCTGGCTTCCCACCAAGGGCCAGCACGTGTCCATGGGGACAAGGTGGGTGGTTTGGGTAGGGAATGGTCTGTAGCTTATTGAGCACGTTAAGGGAGCAATTTGGCAGCTTCCTCCCACAGAAGCTGACACCAGCAGCAAGGCAGCAGTGGTCAGGAACCCAGCGAGCTCCCAGGCC